CTCTACTTTCTCTTGCCAGGACTCTTCGTTCCACCTTCTGATGGATTTCCCCACCTCCAGAACCTCAGTTCTGTTTTATAACTCTTTGTACTGGTGCTGTTTGAGTATTTCTTAGATTCAATAATTTTCTAATCATTTTCCTATACTTAGAAATGGTCATAGATCCCACAGATCATTCACCTTACTTCCTGTCTCCAAATTTACACACATGCTTTGTTGTTTGCCTAGAAAGTCTGTCTGGTCTCTTCTTCTAGCTCTTTGTGAACCATCCTTGAAAGCTCAGCTGAAGTGCCAGCTCTTCCTGGAATCAAGCTTTTCTGATCTCCCAAGCCAGTGGGATCTATTACTCCTTTGAACTTGCCTAGCACATTCTTAGCATTTTTCCTATGAGATTTAATACATTCAGCATTGCATTAGGTACCCGAGTATTACTGTACTATTCCAATTAGCTTGTAAACCCTCAGGGACAGAGACATTATATACCATTTATATCTCAAGTTTGAGGCAAATCGTGTATATGAGAATCAATGTGATGTCACAGAAAAAGCACACGTTTTAGGGTCAGACATCCTTATTTTATTTTTTTTAGATTTTATTTTTGTTAATAGGTGCATGTACTCACCAGCGAGAGACAGAGAAACACATGGGGTAGGGGAGAGGGAGGGAGAGGGAGGGAGAGGGGGGGTCAACTCCCAGGGGGGATGGCTACACTGTAATTTCTTCTCTTCCAGTCTCCTAAGGATTTTGGGCATGCATGCACAAGTGCCCAGTGTGATTTTTCAGACCTCCCAGCCCAGGATTCTTACTATGCAGTCAGTCATGTGGGATCCAGTGGCTCAACTTCCACATCACCTGCTAGGTCCAGACATCCTTAAATTTTAACCCTGACTCTTTTTTGCCACTCTGTAATTGAGGGCAAATTATTTAATCTCATCTAAAGGTTTAGCTCTCATCTGGAAACTATACTTTCCTAATAAAGTTGTTTTGGGGATTAGGTACAGTAAATAGAGTGTTTATCAAAACATGGCTTCACAGGCACTCAGAAAAACCTGCCTGAAGTTCACCTCTTAAGTCTTCATTAGTTAGCTGTCAGAAGCTCTTCCTGGTCTCCAGATGAGAGGATAGAGAATACCTCTGATCTTTGACAGGCACCCACACCTGAGGGGCTTCCTTTTTGCCCGTAACAGTGTCTCTCAGTCAGAATCTATCCCAGTAAGCTGCCCTTCTGGTGTTACATACAGACAGTAGCAGGGGGATATTTCCTTATGAGACTTTTGGAGAAAGCAGATTTGGGTCTGTGCATTACTATTGGGCTGTCAGAAAAGTCATGCAAAAATGTGTCATAACTTTTCTGACAACCCAATAGGTTTATTTAACCAGATTGTGAAACACATTATCATTTTTTTAATTGCCAGAGAACACATATGCTCACCAGAGGTGGGGGCCAGGGGGAGAAAGCACCCCCTCAACAGGCTGTGGTTGCATCACAATTCCTTCTCCTCCATTTCTCCGTCCTGGAAGGATTTGGGGCACACACGCACACATACCTGGCATGTTTTTCAAGTTGCCAGGGCCAGGATTCGAACAGTAGTTGGTCGTGTGAGATCTGTCTCCCTTAACCACTAGACTGTGGGGCCAGCCCCCAATATCATTATAGATACTTAGTGATGTTTTAAAATTCAAGACACACATAAACCAGTTTACCAACCTCTAATGTTACTCACCAGAAGTCCAATAGACACTTTAGGAAGCATCTCAGGCTGCCAGGCCACCTCCTGCCCGTTGCTCCATCACAGTTAACAGTGTACTAAGTGATGCATAGCTTGGAAACATATGGCAAGTTAACCAACATGTACAGACCTCTCTGAGACGTGGGCTCACCATACTAACACACACAGTTTTCTTCCTTCACCTATTCTGGCTCCCATGACATTTTTAATAAGAATAATCAAAGGAAATAATAAAACTTTTTTTTCCCAGTCTAGATAAGCGATATATAAAATGTTAAATATACAAGCAGTTGGATGCTCACCAGGAAGCTGAGTCTCAGCCCTCTCTCTAAGTGCAGATCAAGCCCCCTCACTCACATCTTTTGCTACCTTTTTCTCCTGCCAAAAGCAAGGGAGTGAGGACCTTGTGCTCAGGAATGGAGACCACCCAGTGAGGCCTCAGCTCCATTCTGAAATGAGTGGAGAACATCTAGTGATAGACCCAGACCTTTGACACTGATGAGCCTATCACTCCTCATTAGAAAATGAGAGGTGAACATCTCTAAGCTCCAAGAGGGCAAACAACATTAATAAGCAGCTCTTACATGCCAGGTGCTTAGACAGAGCGTGAGTGAGCTGGACCCATGTTTTAGTAAGCTTGCCCTCCCATTGCCTATTTTATACATGATATAGGGTGAAATAAAAGGAGACATGATGCAAATAAAATGAGAAGCAAATTAGGGAATGACTAGCCTAATTATTGATTAGAACTTTGTTTACATTAATTGTAGAACCTAAGCATTTGTGTTTGAACTAAAGGCCCTGCCTCCATTAGAATGTTACACTGAGAATGTTCAGATTTCCAAAAATATATGTAACTGTCAAAACTTTCCTTTTCTTTGCAGTGACTCTTTCATATAATGACAGTCATGATTTGACCATGCTGTTAAACAACTAAGTATTTACTCTTAGAACCGTGTTTCCTCCTACCCGTCACATTTCGTTGGATCCATAGTTCCGTTACAGCACCATGGTTCATCCCGTTTCCCAAGCAATAATCCTGAAAATATCTCATACTCCCTTTTTTCTGTTATTACCACAGTCAAGGGGTCAGTGTATTTTCTAGATTCTAACTCCTGAATAATTGATATTAGGCTCCTTCTTGTCATCTTTTAAGTTTGGACCCCAGTGGCATTTTTTATTTTATAGATTACATTCCTCATCTCCCACCCCCATTTCCACCCCCACGCCTGATCTCATGACAGAGTTATCTTTCCAGGTTACACATGCAGATTTGAAGATAGTACTCTCCTACTTTGCTGGCTCCTGTTTGACTAGAGAATGAATAGACCTCCATGCAGTAACCAGTTCCATTTGACCAATGCATATTGACTGCCTCCTGGTGTCAGGGATTATGTTAGATGCCGGTAATATAACCTTAGCAATCTCCAGTTGTAGTGCAGTGTGACAAATGCTTGAATAGTTCATACACTTGGGAATCTGCTGGGTTTAAATTCATGTTCCTTAAAGAAACCTACCAGGTCTGTCTTTCATGACCTGACCTTACCATCCCTTCTTTCCCCCATATATTGTATGCTATGTCATCCCAAACTGTCAGAAGTTTGGGAAACATTTTGTGTTTTCTTACATTTCATGCTGCTTCCTGTCCCTGGAAACCCTCCCCCCCCCCTCAGTTGCATAATTCTTAATTGTCCTTTTTACGTTCTTCCCAGGCATCACATTTCCTGAGGCCTTTGTCTGCTCCCTTGAACCTCTTATCTCCATGATGGGTTAGATACCCACTTCTACGAGGGAATACCAATTTAGGGAAAACTCTATCAAAGAAATTCTCAAATTTGCTCAAATTAATCTATCAGATTTTCTCTGTAGAGCTGTGGAAGGATAGGGAGGTCTTTCAGGTGAGTGCCCTCTTCACCCAAGTCAGTTTCTGTCCATCTCAAGTTCTCCATAATCATTCATTAAATGAGTGATGTTGCCTTTTTTAAAAAAATAAGTATTTACATAATTTTATTTATTATTATTTTTAAATTTACATGTGGTGCCATGTGTGCTCACCACAGAGAGACCATGAGAAAGGGAAAGTGAGAAAGCAAGCCACTGGGTCTGGGACTCAAACCATGGTTGGCCATGTGGGAGTCCATGGCCTTAATCACCATGCCACCTGTTGGTTCTCAAATGAGTGATGTTTCTAATCATCCTCTCTCCTGATGGATATTAACCTGTATTTACTGTATTTATATACCCACGTACATGGTGTTCACTCTCAAATCAGTGCCTCTACCCAGTAATACATACATCTGTTTTTCCTGTTTTAGCATATTTCAGAAAAGAGATTATTTGCACCAATATAATCATGCCACCAATTTTACACAAAGTCGTTCTATAAGATTGGTAGTTGGAATTGATTTATTCAAAATAAGAATAATTTATTATTAACTACTGTAAACAGGCATGTAGAAGCTCATGGACATGAAAGGTACAGGGAATCACGTCTCACATGAGGTTCAGCTCTGAAAATCACCTATAATCCAAATGAAGTCAGAGGTCGACCAGTTCTTCTCTGAAGGATCAGATAACCAATGTTTTTAGTGGTGAGCCATATGAGCTCTGCTGCAGCTACGAGTTTCTGTTGTAGTGTGGGGGCTGTCACAGATTGTAAGTGAATAGGTATGCACGTGTCTTAGTAAAGTCACTTACAGAGCCTGTGGCTCAGGGCGTAGTTGAGGACCCTGCCTTGAATCCAAGGTGGGACAGATATGAAGGTAAAGATGTATGGTGTTGAGGTGATTCAGAGTTAGGAGAAGGACACATTTTACACTGCAAGAAATAGAGAACAAGTAGCCTGGAAAGATAACTTTGCTCTCATCAAAGTTCGTCATAGAATTCCAAAATACAAATGAGTAGAAGCTAGAGGATCAGACATATTTAGAAAAGCCTAGGAGATTTTTTGGCTTGTCATGTAAGAAAAGTTTAAGATCAAAACCTGGAGAGGTGTTTTTATACAAGCACCCAGGAATGTCCCAACCTTGGGGACCATTTACTATCACGAAAAGAGAAAAGATGAAAGGTAGGCTAGAAAAAAAATGTTTCTGGTGAAGACTATTTTTATTGTCAACATTCCTTTGAAGTCAGAGTTGGTTGCTGATTATTTTGGATAAGTTTAACATACAAATGCAAAAAGAAAATGGGTTCAATGCAACGTCGAAATATTTTCTTACTGATCTTTTATTTACAGAACTTAACTGATGCTTTTTTTCCCCTTAATTCTAGCACCAATAGCTGCAGGAACTGGCCCAAACTTTTCTCTCTCAGATTTGGAAAGTTCTTCATACTACAGCATGAGTCCAGGAGCAATGAGGAGGTCTTTACCCAGCACATCCTCTACAAGGTAATTTGATTAGAGGCTCATGAAGTGGTTATGCTGATAGTTGTACCTCTTGATTTTTAACTCTCTACACCTCTTAGGCATCAGCAATATGTACAGAACAATAGAAAATACTGGGGCCAGCAGGTGGCATGGTGGCTAAGGTGTTGGATTCTATGGCTGACCACAGTTCAAGTCCTAGACCCAGCGGCTTCAAAATCATGCCGGGCATGTGTGCGTGCATGCCTAAAATACCCAGAGGAGAGTGAAGGAGAAGGCATTGTGGTGTGGTCATCCTCCCTGGGGGGTGATTTCTCACTTTCTCTCTCTCTCTCTCTCTTTCTCTCTCTCTCTGTCTAGTCTACACATTCTATAGCAGAAACCAAAACAATAAATAAAATAAAATAAAATAAAATAAAATAAAATAAAATAAAATAAAAAGAAGTGGGTTTAGTTGCAACAGACTTTCAGTCTCAACAGACTTTTCAGGGGAGATAAAGCAAATGTTTCAGGAAAAAAGTAGACACACACACACACACACATAACAGACACACATCAGACAGTAAAAAACAGTGAACTAAACTGTGTGTCATAGGTTAAAAACAGTTAAAGAAATCTTTTCCCCAAAAGAGTGACTGTGCTCAGCAATCAGTGTTGGTTAGGGCTGGTAAGATGGAAAGGAAAAGAAATGGAATTCTGAGTGGGGTGAAAACATGTGCAAAGGCACAGAGGAAGGATGGGTGATGTACAGAGCATGTTCTCAGGAAATGAAGGACACAGCTTGACTACAGAAAAGGGTGTGTGTTTTGGCTTGTTTGGCAGGAAGTGGACGCTAGTGACACCAGCCCCAGTCCCCATGCCCACAGCAGACCCTGAAGCTCAGTCCCAGTTCTTTTTTCTACTGAGCCCTTAAGATCTCAAAACCTAGTCTATTGGAGTTGCCCTAAATGATGAAACCTATTTGAGAAACGAAGAATGCAGTTAGCGATGAGGGTGGGACCAGACCATTGACCCCATTTCACCAGGAGACCTTAAAAAAAAGGTAAAACTGCGAGAATACAACAAAAATAACAATTCCAGGGTTCTTGATCCCCAGAAGGTCACAAAGCCAAAATCAAAATGAAGCATTTTGTAAGATCCTGTTGTCTCTAGATAACCTGGACCAGAGGGAAAGGGATTAGGCATTAAACCCACAGTATTCTTTTACAAATTGGCTTTAGCACTGGACTGTGACAACAAAGAAAAGAACAGTGCAGAACAATCTTTAATGTTTGTGTACTTTGCAGAAAAACCTTTGACAAAGCTATATTCCTCCTAAAACAAGTGTGGAGTTTTATGATTTAAAACAATGGCTGGATTAGAGAAAATGTTCTCGGCAGAAGCTCATCTTTACCTGGCCTTTATATATTTTAAACATCACTACTGACAAAAACAAAAACCAAAAACAATCCATTTCATCGTTACTAATACCTTCAAGACAGTTAAAGAAACAGTTATCCCCTAAATATTAACACTAAATACTACCACCGTCTTTCATGTGTTTTAAATATTCCCCCTTACTGCACTGTAGTGTCAGCTCTTCAGGAGAAGAAAAAGTGTCAACTCCAAAGTACAGTTATAATGGAAAAAAGAGATTGGGAACACATTCGCATGTTAATACATTTTGAGGATTTGGGATGTTTGCTGACGCCAGAGACCCTGTGCGGAACTGCACTCAGTCAACATGAAAAAGCTTTGCAAATACTTGTGCGCAGTGATTAATGTAACAGTTGATGGGCGGTTTGTTTTTCATACGTGGGCTGCACATGAGCCACGGACATCCCAAACAGGAGGTGAGGGTGTCTTTTGCACACTTCTCTAGCTATGACTTACTATCTTTTGTTTTGACTCTCTGAAAGGAAAGCTGATTATTAATGTTATTTGAAAAGCTAGTGTCATTCTCATATTCTGTAAATAACTAACCCCGATAAGGAGCTAATTATAAACAGTATCGGCAGTTAATAGCTCAGTAATATGTTTGTTTTACTCTCATTAGGCTCTTCTTAGAATAATTTAAAAAACAATTCTTTAAATACATAGACCTAGCATAATTATCTGTGTGCAGGTTAGAACTGTGCCCAGAAGACTCTCCCAGATTTACATATAGAAAAGTGCATCAGTCAATCAATATTTGTTCACGCAGGGCTGATATCAATGTGTTCTTTAGTGCTGTGTGGCAGACACAGTCGTGGGTGACTTCCGTCCCTGATTTTACAACACTGACTGTTGCCATTTAAAAAGCGGAGCTACATGAAGCTCAGAGAAGTTAAGTAACATCCCAAAAATCACAGCCCTAGAAATAGCAGTCCACATTCGAACTCGGGTCTCTTGGAATTTACAAAAGCCTGCTCTTTCTTTCTTTCTTTCTTTCTTTTTTTTTTGGAGAGGTTTTCACTATAGGGCACGTGCGCTCACCAGACAGACAGAGAGAGACATAGAAACAGAAAGCGAGAAATCAAGCCCCCCCTAGGGGGGATGGTCACGCCGCAATCACTTCTCCTCCATTCTCCTCTCGGGATCTTGGGCACGCACGCACACACGCCCGGCGTGTTTTAAGCCACTGGGTCCAGGACGCGAACCGCAGTCGACTACGTGGGAGTCCAGTGACATAGCCGTTATGCTAACTGCTGGTTCCCAAAAGCCTGCTCTTTCTACGCTGAATCTTCATAGACACGAGACCGACTCTCTTAGTAAGAAACAAGAGAATATGAGGCCCTAACAAAGGAGCATGTAGCCTCTCTACTTTAGTGACACTTAGTGTTTATTATCTAGAATTGTGATTGCCATCTTTGAGGTATGTGTGTATGCTGTCCCCTTCTGGATTGCAAGTCCCTTAAATGACAGCATCTAACTCTTCCAATTCAGCAATGAGTGTTAGTATGCATCAAGATATTAGCCTCGTAAGTATGGATAGAAGGTCAAATAAGAGAAGCTTTACAATCTAGTGGCAGAGACTGAAAAGTAAATGGGAATTTTCAGTTCAGTGTCCTGTGAATACTCAGTAAAGAGGCATTTTGCATCTTATAGATACTAAGAAAGGCTTCTAGATCTTACATGTAGGGATTAAGAATTTGGAATGAAGGAAATCCTGTTACCTCAAATTTTAGGTAGAATTTCTAGGAATTTAAGAACAACTTCTATAAGAAGAGGTAGGGCATTACTCCTTAGGAGAATATTTAGTCTCCCTTTTATGCTCTGGTTTTACTGGTACCTTACTGTTTTCCTCAAGTGTTTCTGGGAGGGTAGAATCAGTGGGTTAGAATGTCAAAAGGGAGACACACAAAACAGTGACTGATTTTCTAAGAAGAAATTAAATAAAAGAAGAACTGGTTGGCATTAACTATCGGGTCTGGACCTCTTCAGGGTACACAGCTCCTGGAATCATAGATCAGTACAAAAACTGGTGTTAAATACATTTTCTTTTTAATTGCGAAAACTGCATCAAGATAAAACAGCTGTCCAGTTTCTGAAGGCAGTAAACTTTCTTGGCAACCTTCTACCTGACTTTCCTGGTATTTCTCACATTTTTCTCTCCTGAACTTTTTCTCTTCTCCATCCTGCACCTCCACCCTCCAGACATTTATCTTCTGTCAACTCTCTTATCTCGCTTTCCAACTAAGGCACCAGCTCCTAACCACAGAATCTTTCACCTTTGGAATTTAATACCTGCGTTCTACATTTACATGTTATTAAGGGGCATCAAGGAAATCAAAAGCTTTAAAAATGCAGGAAAATATTAATAATGGGAAAGTGATGGACAGTGGAATTGGCCTTTTGGATCCAATCTCACTGAATCACGTTACTTGAGTGGACCTTATGTACTCTTAAGGCTGTTTCTAAGTTAATAGCCACATTCAGAAGGGTTTGAGCATTTGCTATTAGCCAGATGCTGTTAGATACTAGAGAGTAAAAAAGGCCAAATAGTCATAATAATCATTTTCTCTGCAGATCTCAGAGCCCCAGTGGGACATATAGGTCTTACCTTTGATTTGCCATGGTATTTAAGGAAAATATTTATTATTTTCTATTTATATTCTTCCTGCTTCTGAAATGATTTCAAATAACTTTCAATTTTAAAACCCAACAGGTAATATCGAATCATAGAAAAAGAGGCCCCAAACCATATGAAAAGATAGGAGGAGATTGTTTTGTCAGGAGTCTGAGCCAAGAGTTTTGCCTTAAATTTAGCCCTGAGCTTCCTAGTTGCCAAGACAAGAAGGGAAAGCAATGGGTTATAAAACTTGCATTTCCAGAAAACACTTATTTGAAGAGACAATTTTGTTTTGGCTATGTACTAGAAGGAATTTGTGTGTGTGTGTGTGTGTATACCCTCTTGCAAAGGACTTCCATTAGATGCAATTTTACATAAAATATAGAAAAGTTCTTCAAGTGCTATTTTTCATCAAACTTCAATGAAAGCGAAGCAAAGAACATTAAATAAGCTATTAAAGGCATTTCCTTTGGGTACTAAGCTAGCATGGTACTGTTATGTTGCTTTCCTGTGGTCTGGCTTTAATAAGAAAAGAACTTAACGGCTGAGAATAGGGAATGCCAACATTAATCATTAGAATTTCTTGCCTTGAATTGGGCCCTCCACATTTTTTTATTTGGATTGCTGCATTCGCTTAACTCTCTTCTTGCCTCCAGACTCTCTCTTCTTTTTCCTTTGCCTTCCTAAATCCCTCATCCGCACAATCACTAGCGTAACCTTTCTAAAATCCGACTCTGATGTCACTCCCTTTTAGACCATCTCAGGAAGTCTTCATTGCTGATAGGATAAAGCCCAGAGGTATAATAGCTTTTGTAACCTCCACCCTCTTCTTTCCCTGGGCCCCTCCTAACTACAGCCATCCTCAACAGCTGGTAATTCTCCGAGTACATCACACTTTACACAAGATGTTGCTTCTGCCTGAGATGCACCTCCCTCCTGGGGGTGATGCTCAAAATACCTGATAACCTGGGTGACATGAGCATACCACGGAACAGATGCCGCTCCGCTGCAGTGCTTGGGCAAGGCCTGGGAATGTCTGTGCCGTGTCAGACATTAACCCTTTCATCTGCGAATCACGAGCATCTCCTGGGGCAAAGGAGGAGAGGCGAGGTGAAAAGAAACTTACGGAGCTTGGGACAATGACAGTTTGCAATTGGTAAAGAAGCATTTCAACTTTTTGTCTTTGTATAGGTTTTTGCCATCACGTTCGTGCACATGCCTGAGAGAGACAGAGAGAGGGAAAGGAGAAACTACACCCCAAGGGGCATGGCCATTGAGGCAATCCCTTCGCTATTCTCCTCTCAAGATTTTGGGCATACACGATACACATGCATGAGCCCAGTGTGATTTTCTTTTTCTTTTTTTTTTTTTTTTTTTCTCTAGGGCATGTTTTTGCTATAGGGCATGTGCGCTCGCCAGAAAGACAGATAGAGACAGAGAGATAGAAAGTGAGAAATCACCCCCCAGGGGGGATGGCCACGCCACAATCCCCTCTCCTCCATTCTCCTCTGGGGATCTTGGGCACACATGCACACGCACGCAGTGTGAGTTTAAGCCACCAGGTCCGGGACTCGAACCGCGGTCGACTACATGATAGTTCAGCAACATAGCCATTACGCTAACTACTGGTCCTCCAGTGTGATTTTCAAACCAAAAGGATTCAAACGTGGTCAGCCATATGGGGAGTCCAACACTTTAATCACCATGCTACCTGCTGGCCCCTCGTTTCAATATTTTGAACACAAAACTGACTACCCCAGTGGTGCATCAGCTGAGTCATGGCCTACCTCTGCCCTTTACTTTATTCTCCTCTGTCTTCCTGAGACTTTTAAAGACTCAGAAGCTGTCTCTCTGGGAAGCCTCTCCTGACCACCGGTGTATCACTCTTTGCTTCCTCTGTCATGTGGCCACTCTATCCTGTGTATGGTTCCATCACCACACCCGTACTTCTCATTTGCACAGTGGTTTGCCTGTCTGTCTTCATCTGTGGAGACTGGGCCCTGTCCAGCTCATCCCTCTATCCCAGCACTTAGCACAGCACTTGCATACAGTGTTGGATGAATGAAAATAAGGGGGAAATCCCACACCCTCACACATGAGGAAAAGATGTACCAAAAGCATTCCCACTAGGTAGGAACACTGTATATCCTGTTCATATATATGGGTGAATTCTCCATGAAGACTAGAACCAGAAATAGCAGCTAGTAGCATTGTATTCCTTTTTCATTCCTGGAGCTTCCCATTGGGAGAAAAATTCAGTCCTTCAACTGGAGGAAATGAAATATATCCTGGAAGCTTCTTAACCATTACTCCAAAAACCGAAACTCCCTACCAGGATGAAATGAAACTTCATTTTGGTCATCTCTGTGGAGAGGAAGGGCCCAATGGTCTTTAGGCATCTCTTTTTCCATGTCCCTCATTATCACGGGCCAATGTGCTCCTTCCTCTCGTTTCTGTCAGCTCTGTTCACTATTCGCTCTCTGGCCTGTAGAGCAGTACCTGGATTACTGTAGCTGTGCAGTAAGTATTTCTGAATGAGTAAATCCAAGGGGAAGATGGCAAAATGTGGAAAAGGAAAAAGCAAACTAAGCTTTTCCTGAAGGATCTCAAGCCCCAGTTGATATCCTTTCTGAGGTGCCAGTAGGATTGTATCGATATCTAGGTGCATGGCTGATGGCTGGCCCAGCCCCGCCTGTGGAGATGGGAAATATGTGGGCTCCATCCTGACACATCCAGGTGGAGACAGGAGCAGCAGCCAGCCACCAGTTCCTCAAAGGAAAAAGGAACAGGATGTGGCAGCAGCAGCCAGCAAGTGACAATAAAATCAAACCCAGATGCTTGGAACAGCACACCCCCAAGATTCTGTCCCACGTGCAGTGACTCATGCTGCACAGGAGCCTAAAGAGTCCCAGAGCTACACCAAGTTGCTCAGTCGCTTCCCTCCTTGGCTTGCTTTCCACCAGAGGTGCCGTGTCCAGGAGAAAGGTGGATGGGATTGTGTATAAACACCTCTGTTTGTCGTTTCAGCTCCACGAAGCGCCTCAAGTCTGTGGAGGATGAAATGGACAGTCCTGGTGAGGAGCCATTTTACACAGGCCAAGGGCGCTCCCCAGGCAGCGGCAGTCAGTCCAGCGGATGGCATGAAGTGGAGCCTGGTAAGCCGTGTGGGGAAGGGGCAGGTACTGAGCTGGGAAGTGGTAAACCAAGCAGTGAGGTCCCACACGAGGCAGGCAGTGAAGAGAGGGCTCAAGGTGGTTGACTTTTCCCAGATGAGCACGTGTGTCTTGTGACCCGACGGCCATTTATAAGGGCGTGGCTGTGTGAAGCAGTGGTTTCGTGGAAGTGTAAGCCTGGTGGCTGATTTTCCACTCTCATGTGTTCTAGTGTTCCCTGTGCTTTTGTTTTCATTTTTACACTTTATTTTTATTTTAAAAGTCTTCTTTATTCAATAAGAGAGCAATCCAAGCTCACTGTAACTTTTTAAAAAATCTTTTTATTTCAATTTCTTTTATACGTTCAATCACATAGGGTGCATGTGCTGGAGGAGGAGGGTGCTGGGAAGAGACAAAGACAGTGGGAGGGAAAATGAGAAACCACCTCCCAGGGGGGATGGCCATGCCACAATCCTTTCTCCTCTATTATCCTCCCTGAATCTTGGGCATGCATGCACATGTGGGTTTCAAGCCACTGGGCCTAGGACTCAAACCACTGTCAGCCATGTAGGAGTCCAGTGATATAACCACTACTCCATCTGCTAGCCCCCCATTTTTACACTATCCTTTGTTTTTGTTTTTGATTTATCTTTTAAAAATCATAATAAAAATCTAATCACTCTTTGGACTGGACTGGTCTGTTAGAAAAAGAGAATGGGTTCCTTGTGCTACCATTTATCCTTGGATTTTTATGAAATGAGGATACTTTGGATTTTTTTCTTCATCATGATTGTCTTTCTATTTGAATCTTTTAAATCTTATTTAAGAAAGTCCTTACAAAACTCATTTCACTTCTTCGAATAGGGATGGTTACTGCCGTTTGAAATGTTTCAACACACGCCTTCCCTCAGTGGACGGCAGCAGGTATTAAACAGAAACAAAGTCTGGAAGGATAAGATCTCTTTGGGCGGTCTCCCGCTAGTCCCGGAAAGTGCAGGGGGTTGGGCGAGCATGTTCCTTGAAGGCCGACCTGCTGCTTCTTCCACTCCCCAAGGTGGGAATCCTGAGACAGAGATGGCAAAGGTCAGTGGAACCTCAACCAAAACAAAACAAAACAAAAAGGCAGCTATCTTTGTGCCTATCCGAAGTAATCTAAGAAAACGTGGTGACTGTTGTCTAACTTCCTGGGTTAGTCTAGACTCTGGAGTGTAAGAGAGGAATGTGAATATTTCGGATAGTAGAAGTCTTTGAAGCCTCTGTCAAATGTCTGACCACCACATGGTGAGAGAGAATCTTCTCCAGTACGACAAGCCACATGGGAGTCAGGGGCGTGGAGTGTGGGACTTGGGATCAGACAGATGGAGTGCAAACCTGGCTTCAGGTTCTGCTGGCCCTGTGATGGTGGGTGAATTACCTAACCTCTCTAAGCCGGTGTCCCCCTTTTTATAATCTGATCCACCAGCCTTTTATCTGACTCCCTTTACTTACACGGAAAACTTTTTCTTTGCCTTGCTTTTACCTAATTCCCTCACTCGACTAGTTCATTTATCCACTCCTTGAACGGTCCTGATTGACAACTTTCTGAGTGAGGTTCTCTTTTTTTTTTTGGAGAGGTTTTTTGCTATAGGGCGCGTGCGCTTGCCAGACAGACAGAGAGAGACATAGAGACAGAAAGCGAAAAATCACCCCCCAGGGGGGATGGTCACGCCGCAATCCCTTCTCCTCCATTCTCCTCTCAGGATCTTAGG